CTCACACACACACACACACACGACACGACTTGACTTTTGAACAGTGCTAGGCACCATATAAGTATGATACCAATTTGTGTGTGCAAAAATATCGAGTTCAACGACCATTTAGCGCCTATACCTAATGGCGCGTTTCTTTGTACATACGACCTCCTCCCGGGTCTCTCTCCCGTCCATATCTCCCTTGCCACTCCCGTCCATCTCCCTCGCCGCTCCCGTCCATCTCCCTCGCCTCTCCCGTTCCTTTTCCTCGCCTCTCCTTGTCCCCTTCCCCGTCCATCCCTTCCCCTCCGCCGCCGCCGCCGCCGCTTTTGCTCCCGCTACTGCTGATGATGATGCTGCTTGCTGCTCCTGCTGCTGCTGCTGCTGCAGCCGACCCTGTGTGTAGTACAGTGTGAATCCTGACCAGGTTGCCTGTTGTTGGCTGGAATCATAAATCAATACACCCTACCGTCGCCCGAGCGCCGCCGCCGCCACCGCCCTCCCGGTCTTCCCTCGGGCTCTCCCATAGCCGCCGCCGCCACACACCCAGTTTCCGCTAATCTCCCTCTTTCTTCTTGTAAAACCCTCCGGGGCCCCCACACCGCCCATCTACTCCTCCCACGCACGCACACACACCCTCGTATTCCTTTATCCCGTCCTCCCGTTCAGTGTGAAAAGCTCAAAATACATATATATATAATACATCTCTTTGGACGGAAAGCAAGCTGTGTGTGTGTGTGTGTGACTGCTGCTTTGCAAAAGTAAAAGTTTCTCTGTACAATCGAATCATCATCATCAGCCGGGTTGAATACAAAATTTAATAACGGTGCAGTAGTCGATTATAACACATTATATCTTCCACTACTAGTGTAGTCTAGTCTAGTGTATAACATTATTATAACTACATAATAACGTTACGGAAAACTTTTCGGCTGTTCCCCGTGTGGACTGCTAATTTTTTCCACCCTCCGCTAGTAGATACTTGTAAAAACCTCTTGCACAAGTTTGGTCGTCTGGTGGTGTCTTGACTCGGATTAATTTTGAAAATAATTACAATAATAAGTACCTACTTTTGATAGGTTGTGGTCTTTGGAAAGTAGGTAATGAATAACATGTACATGCATCTTCAAGATATATGTATTTGTATGAAACAGTCTGACAAAATTACAAAATTAATAGCAATCATCGACAAGTATATATTTTTCTTGTAGCTTAATAACCGGTTTATCAAACTGAATCGGTAAAAACAGTTGTCCACTTCAGCCCTTCTCATACATTAATTCAAAACTTAGTCATGAGAATTATTTTGTTCTTTGTGGTGGGTATAATATGATGTTTTTTAAGTTTGAATTTGCTTATACAATATGTAAATACCTACATTCCTACACTAATGACCTTTTGTAAAATGTGAATAATTTTCACTTTATGGTTTGTTGATTTTATAATTTATCTGCAACTATATAATACCTATGATTTGTTAATGACGAATCATGTTGACTTCTATTGTACAATAATTAAAAATGGTTTTTATATTAATTTTAAACTTGATTAATATTGCAACTTTGACTTCCGTGTATTATGTTTAATTTTTAAAAGTTAATTTTCATACCAGTCGGTGAGTTCAGGTAATTTATTCTGTGCAGTAGACGACACTGTCTTTTGTAGGAGTTGATACTTGCTTTTGTAAGACTATACCGTCGTCCTAACTTTTACGGTTTAAAGTGGATCTTAACGTGTAGTGTACAGTTTTTTCATCAAAAATACTGCAGTCTACTTACTTTTTTTTTCTTTTTTTTTTTTTAATAAAGAAAAACCTCTCAAAAAGGAGAGAAATTACATTTCGGCCTTGGCGAATTTCTAGGTTGCCATATAGTGTGAATGATGAATCTACAGTCAACAGATATTTCAATGTATATAGGTAACAACAGCAATAATTTACACTGGACAACAAAAACTCGTTTTGGCGTGGACACTTTTGACTGATTATGTTAGGCTCAAGGTTTAGAGTTTAATGTGGAACCGATATTAGAATAATTCAAATACTAATGAGTTGTAATGAGTGTTGCTCCATCTAAATCGTTGGAAGAAGCGCGCCCCCCACACATGTTGTAACACGACCAGATATGAGTAACCCACACTTTGTGTCTTGTTGTTGACCGACCGGAAAGCCAAAATAACGTTCATATAAATTTTTTACTAATAATAAAAAAAATTAATATGGTTTATATAATGTGAGGGTAGAAATATATTTCAAAATTAGTTAGCACCTTCAAATTCTTGCTGACCAGTGTTACTGCAGACGGACGATCAACCATCTAATCGTCGCGCGTCCACCCTTATACTAAAAATACATTTTTTTTAAGTACATTATTGTGTTTTATATATAGATACCTATTTATATTGCGATTTTATCGCATTTTTTTTGTTAATCTGATCGTTAAAGTCGGCTGTTAAGTCCGCAACGGTCCGTGGTCGTACTTAAAACTGTTTTATTAAGGGTAGTGTTTACGCGGTTAGATGCGGTAAACCAATTGGAAAAACGTTATTGTTTTTTATTTTTTCTCATTACTTTAGCCCACTTTAATAATGTTGTTGTGTTTTAATCTACTGCGAATAACTCGAAAAGTATTTCTTCTGAAAACCGCTTGGAAAAAAGGTCGACCCTTTAAAACTACCCTTTTCGCCGAAAACGTACAACGGATATATATATATATTATTTTTTTTGAATGCTAAAACAATATTGTTTTCTAAAAAGTAACATGTCTGACCGCCTCGATGGACGTTGTGTTTTCGTTAAATTGAAAAAATATTTATACACCTAGGACCGGTTTTGGCGTGTATTGTTATTGAGAAAATGGCAATTTGATCGTCGGTTGTCCCATTTGTTGATATTATTTTCAAAATGCATATATATGTATTTATATATTTATATATTTTTTTCAATAAAAAGGCACTTTGGTTCCGACTTCAAAGTCTTCTAAGGCCGTTTTCAGAGGTGGAAAAACGCCTTTAACATGTTTTGTTCTTTTTATTTCGTTTTTATACATGAAACGCATAGTTTGCGTTTGTCAGGTTGAAAAAAAAATAATAAACGGTTTTGTTTTTGACAGAAGCTGATATTGGCAATATTCAAAATTCTCTTACTAAATGTGAGAAATACACATGTTGGGCGAATGCCTGATTTTTTTTCCGTACCTATTTTGTGAATTGTATAGTAAAAAATCGTGGAATTCATATTTAAATACAATTTAACACGGCTGTTGGTGAAATATAAAATAATAGCGTTTAAAATTGTATCGTTACTAAAACGCTTTTAAACTGGTAATTCTAGTTTTGGATTAAAAAAAAAAAAAATACTATAATTTCTTCTTAAACGATGACCCTATTAAGTTATTATATAATATGATTATATTATGTTCATAATTTCTCAACGAAAACCTGCTCAATAAATTCTCTAATTTGATTTATATATATTATCATGTGCAATTTGTTACTTTGGTTTTTGTTTGCTCTATAGCTTTTTTAAAAATAGTCCAATTAGTTACAAATTTGTATGGACTATTCTTTAAACCTAAACAATTGTGCACTTTTATTTTGGAAAAGTTCTCGTTTTTCTTAGGAACTTTTTTTGAAACGGTTTATGCAAGAACTTTTTTCTTAGACCTTTTATTATAAAGTTCACCCGAGAACTCCGCCGTGGTAAGAACATTAATGATGAAAATTCTTCCAAAAACTTTTTGGCCAGCACTTTTACGTAGAAGTTCTTTATTATAAAAGTTCTGTGCAGAACTTTTTACAATAAAAGTTTTCATTATTAATACGTTCCCACTTAATCTATAAAATCATTACAAAATAGTTTTATAACACAACTACATGCATGCAATACAAAATAATGTGTTTTAACTTTAAAGCTCAATCACAGCTACGCATTTTCTTCTTTAAAATATGTTCTAAGCTACTGCATAAAATATAATTTAAAACAATCTCTGTTGTGTTAAATTTAAATTAAATTTCTGTTGAAATGTTACCTTAAAAAAATACGAATTTGATTATTCAGTTAAATTATTATTTTTATTAATTATTAAAAATAACTAAAAATGTAATAGTTTTTCTATTTTTTTCTTTTCTTCAAAATTGTATTTACAAATAATTGTTTGACTGTTTATACTGATTATAAGTTTTTCTTTTTTTTTTAACAACACTGCTCTCCTCTTGATCTCTCTCAATACATTCTCACTGTACTGTGGTTTAAACATACTATCCACAAATTCGCATCAAAGCCGTTTGTTATAAAAGGGATTTTATCACTTATACATGTGACCTCCTCGCCCCTATCATGCTTCCCCCCCCCTTACTGTACTAGCTTTTTTTTAGTTAAAAAAGTATTTTGTTAAACACAATTGTTATGGTAAATTTTCTCACATATAATAATGCTGTTAATATTCTTCTTCTTCACTGGCATTTACAACTCTATTAGAGTTTTTGCCGCCATCACTACATCCCTCCATCTCTCTCGATCTTGCACAATTTGCTTCCATTCTTGCACTTCCAGGGCTTTAAGATCCTCCTCTACTACCTCTTCCTCGGTCTGCCTCGAGGCCTTTTCCCTTCCGGTTTCCATTCCATAACTGCTCTGATGATTTCTGCTTCGCTTCTGCTCATAATATGGCCCAACCACTGAATTCTTTGTCCTTTTATATAACTAGTGACTGGTGCTAAGCCCAGTTCTTCCTGAACTTGTTTTCCTTTCTTCCTTCTGTTAATATTAGTAATTGTAATATATTGTGTAACATATTATTCTAAATGATGCGTTCTGTTCAGCAGGTCCAACAACTACAACAATTGTGATATCAACAACGGGCAACAACATCAGCAGAACCAACAACAAACATTGGTGAAACAAGAACCCACTTGCGCCGATGACGGTTACGAGACCAGCGGCGGCGGCACCGACGCCGAACAAGCGGCGGCCAAGCATTCCGCCGCTGTGGCAGTAGCGGCCGCAGCGGCGGCGGCGGCTGCGGCGGCAGCGGCCGCTGCGCAACAGCAGCACCATCACAACAACATGATGAACCAAATGCCACAAATGCACCATCACCACCAGCAGCACATGAACCCGCACATGCACCCACATCACCACGGCCATCCCCATCACCACCATCAGATGAACAACATGCAGCCGCACCAAATCAAGTACGAGATGCCCGAGGACCCTTACAGTTTCGTCGACGAGGACATGCAACATCACAACCAACAGCAGCAGAACATGCAGTACGCCGAGGAGATGATGATGCAGCAGCATATGCCCAAGAAACGGGGAAGGAAGAAAAAATTCAAGCCCGAAGATCCGATGGGGTCAGTACAACGTTTAGGCGTCCGTCCGTTGCTCGATGAGTTCAAATGTTTTTAATAAATTTACTTAAGAAAACCGTTAGAATAACATGAAAAAAACAATAGTAAAAAAATAAATTTTTCTTATTAATACAAAAATCTAAATATCTAAAAGTATTACAAACATTGAACAACCGTCGTCGTCGTCTCGTGCTATTAAACTATGTTGTCGTTCTTCAGTTAATAATTATTCTGCGAACAAAAACCATCGTTCGGATCAAGTATCGCATTGTTTGCAACAATTTTTCAATATTTATTTAAAATAATAAAATCAACTCATTTTGCACTAAAAAATTCTACCGTTCAGGCAAATTATTAAAAAAACAATATGTTATCTTTGAATTGATTGGTTTTATAAATTAAATTTCAGTAAAACGTCATCCACACCGAATCTAAAATATTTGTCATTCCTCGTATATGACTTCACGATACTTACAAATAAAATAAACAGAATAAGTGTTTTGATATACATAATTGAAATTACCATTTTGTTCTTACGATACGGGTATTATAAAATGTAAGTATTCAGTAGCGACAGTTCACAATTTTACCAAGAGCATAATATAACAAGTCAATAATAATAATAAGCATAATATAATCAAATTAATTTCAAAATAAAAATTGAGAACAACTAGTTATTATAATAATAAAAATATTGTTCCCTAACAATTCTGGAGCTTTCATCGAACCTTTTTTGTTTTTACTTAAGCGAGCAACGTTGTCGGTATAACATTTTTTCACCGTATTTATCAATCGACAGGACATCCGTTTTTTATTTGTTTTTTTTAATAATATGTTGTTTCTTCTTGTACACATGTAGTATGCAGTGTATGAACCCGGACCAAGCGTTCGGTTTGATGCAACACATGATGCCGAAAGACAAGTCCTTGACGAACGCCTCCAAAGTGTACAAGGAGAGGAAAAAGCACGACCGTTTCAACGGCATGCCCGAAGAGGAAGTGTCCAAACGGACTTTGCCCGACCATTTGACCAATAATTTGGATATCGTCATTGTGAGTAGTACAATTTGCTGAATTTTACAGAAAACAGTTTTATTTTTAAACCAAATGGCTAAATACAATTTTTCTCCTCGTTGTCGTTTGTTCGGATATTCACCGCAAGTACAAAACATAACACTTGGAACTTTGCGTAAATATCTGTTCAATGTTACTGAAATTAATAATATTACATCTATTGTTTTTCAAAAATATATTTCAATGAATTTGTTTTTTATGTATTATTTTATTTTTGTGTTAAATGGACCATGTATTATATATTAATTTTTTTTTTTTTTTTTAATTACACTTAACTTAGTAAAATATTAAAACACTAACAAGGCATAATGTTATTGCTTTTTTTTTTTAAGTAGATAACTAGATTAGGTGTTAACTTTAATTTCATAAAAAATACAATTTTAACATTGGTAATATTTCAAAACCAGAAAAAAACTAATCCCTTAATAATATATGTGTAAAAGTTAACCAACATTATGTATGTAGTTGAAAACAAATGTAAATATGAACATTTTTCAGATTGGAATCAACCCTGGATTGTTTGCGGCTTACAAAGGCCACCATTACGCAGGTCCCGGCAATCATTTTTGTGAGTTGTCTTTGTCTTATAAAAATACAACGATAGATTTTTGATGTGTTATTGACAATTGGTAATTGATAATAATTGTTTTCAATTTTTTCTTTCAGGGAAATGCTTGTACTTGTCTGGGCTTACGCCGGAACCCATGACGGCAGAAGACGATTACAAACTTCTTCAAAACGGTATCGGATTTACAAATATGGTAGAACGAGCCACCAAAGGCAGTGCTGATCTCACGAGAAAAGAAATTAAAGAAGGTACTTGTTGTTGTTGAGTCGGTGTCCGGTGAAGAAATAAACCTTTTAACGCAATTTGTTTGTTCTTTGATTACAGGAAGTCAAATCCTCTTAGAAAAACTACAACGGTTTAAACCGAAAATCGCCGTGTTCAACGGAAAGCTCATATTCGAAGTGTTCTCCGGAAAGAAAGATTTTACGTTTGGTCGTCAACCAGAATTAGTCGACGGAACAAATACGGTAAAATTACATTTTATTAAACGTTGAGCATTTTTATATTTCACAGTTTGTTGAAAATTGTAATATTAATTGCCTGATTGTACAAAATGTTAATAATTTATTTTTTGATATGTTTACACACAGTACATGTGGGTAATGCCGTCGTCCAGTGCTCGATGCGCTCAATTACCGAGAGCCGCCGACAAAGTACCGTTCTACGCTGCGCTGAAGAAATTTCGAGACTACTTGAACGGATTGGTGTCGGAGATTGACGACAACGAAGTAGTGTTTTCTTTTACCAAACTGAAAAACTATTACGAGCCGGAAATCAAAGAGGAACCGAAAGACGAAGTGTCGTCGGCGTATTTCAACAACTACAACTCGCTGGTGGACGGCCAAGACACGATCGACAACATTGCCGACATCAAAGAAGAACCGCTGGTGGCGCCGAAGAAGAAGAGAGGCCGGCCGAAGAAAATTAAAAACAAAGACGGTGCGCCCGAAGAGGTGAAAGTCAAACGGCCCAAGCCCCAAGCGGTGGTCGAGAACGACAAGGACGGCGTGCCCAAAAAGAAGCGGGGCAGGCCCAAGAAAATCAAACCCGACGCCAATCAGTTACCGCCCGCAAACAACGTGCCGCCGCCCGTGATGCCGTGCGAACACAGCAACCCTTCGACCCAGCTGTCCAACTGTTTCTCGCCACCGATCCAGTCGCCGATGAACTTGTCGCAGCTGTACGGAGGCAACAACGTTATCAACAACATATACAACAACCAAAGCTCATCGCACTCGCCCGTATCGAACGGCGGCAACAACAATAACGCTGCGTACCATCGGTCGCCCATCCAGTCGCAACAGCACAGGTATTCGCAGTCTCCGCAAGCCCCGTCGTTCACGCACTCTGACCTGTCGTCGGAAATCAGTGCGGCCATCTCATCGGAACACAATTTGGGTTCTAGGTCTCCGGCGTCCCCTAGCCTGGGCCCGCCGGATTTTGAACCGCCCACCAGCCTGCTGGCCGAAGACACTAGTCCGCACAGTAGCCAGCACAGCGGTGTCGTCGGCGCCAAAGAAGAAATGATCAACAACGTCGCCGTCGATCAACATCACAACAATAGGCCGTCGCAAATGGACTGTCAGTTCAACAATTCCGTTGGACAACAGCAATTGCCACCGCAGAAGGCCAACCAAAAAATGGATAACAACATGCATCATTATCCTCCTCCGCCGCATGGGTACGACGAGTACAACGCTGCCGTCGGTTCGCCGGTTTACCCGCCGGCCGAATCCCCGTATCCTCCGCCTCCTTCGGCATATTCCCAACAACAGCAGCAGCAACAACAACAGCAGCAGCAGCAGCAGCAACAACAACAACAACAACAACAAAAGATTACCAACAGCCAAGACGTGACCGCCAAGAGTCTGTCGGGTCTGGAATCTTTGGTCGAACAAATTCCCAACATGAACGAAAACGAAGTGCAGCACGGCGGTCATCACCACCATCACCATCACCATCATCAGTACATGGAAGAGTCCAATGCCGCAGCCGCCGCGGGCGGTTACATGCCCAACGATTACTCTTGTCCGCCGGCGATGAACTATTCGTATTCGTCGCCGCAACAACAGAACATGAACAGTTTTTCCGTTAGCTCACTGACCAACGGTGGCAACCCCCATCAGCAACAGCAGCAGCAGCAGCACTCGCCCATGTCTCAGTCGTCGACGTTCTCGGTCAGCAACCTGGCCTCGTCCAACTATCATCCCCCACCGTCACCGTTGAATTACAACCACCATCATTCCGGCGGTGGCGGCGGCGGCGTCATGATGGACATGGACCGGTTACAGCAGCACCATCAATACCAGCCGCAGTACAACCAGTATCCCGGATCGATGCAATACAACGGGGGCGGCTATCCCAGTCCTCATCACAACATTCACATGCCGACGCCCAACTTTGGCTATCCGCCGCAAACATCGATGCCGTCGTATAGCAACGGCGGCGGCAACGGAGTTTCGCCGTACGCTCAGTCCAACGGCGGCGGCTATTTGTCCGTAAATCGCATGGACATAGGGTACGGCGGTAACTATTAAGAAAAATAAAAAAAAAAGACTGCGATATATAATTTTCTTCGAGGATCGTTTTTCTCAACCGTCGCATTAGTGTGTTTATCTCGTATCTTGTATAAGGTACATGATGTTTATGAGATAAATATATATATAAAAATATATTATATATATATATATATATATATATATTAAGTCGGTTTTACGATATTCAGGGAATGGACTTGTCTGCACGAATCTTAGGGTTTTTTTTTTTTTTTTTTTGTGAGGTTTGAGTTATCGTTCGATAAGGTTTTTTTCTTATACTTCTTTTTTAAAAAAATTAAGAAAAAAAATGTAGTTTTGTCGGTTGAAAGCCACCGCCAGTTTGATGTGTGTAAATAATGATAAATATATTTTAATGTTGTTTGCAAATTATTTCTCAGTATACTAATAATTCTAAGTTACCACTGACGATCGATGAATTATTTACTAATGCGATAACAACGGCGGCACATAATATAATCTTTAATCGGCGACCCACTTTGAAAATGTTTTCACTTTGCAATCGGTTTTTTTCATTCATTCATTTTTGTTTTCTATAATTATATTACTCTTTCTTTTTTTTTCTTCGTCTTTTTCTTAAATATTATAATATTTAATACGATTGGCAATGTTTGCTGCGCTGATTCAACTCGAATTTGTTCAACGTCATCTTTTTGCTCAACCACGATATTGTTATAATATATATTTAGAGTAATAACGACATAACATAATATTTTCCACGTTACCAATAATTAAACCTCTTTTAAGTTTTGTTTTTTTTTTTTTCAAATGGTTAGTGGGTTCCTATTTGGTTGATATATATTATGATGTGTCTTTGTGTGTGTGTGTATGTTTGTGTGTGTATGTGTTGGGAAAAGATAACCATAACAATATTGCTGTTATTTTAAACAACTTTTATTCACTTTTTTTGTTCACGTTCCGGGTTTGTGCAATTAAATCACAGTTACCTTTCGTTTGGTTCGCAATGTCGTTAACGTAACACACGTATTAGTGGATGTCTAGAGAGAATATTAAAATTTCTTTAAAAAATCAATCGGTCGTAGTTAACACCATTCGCAATCAGTTGGGTTAGGTTATGTTATGTTAATAACAACTATCGACCAAAGTTTCGATCCCCTTTTGATTGTTATAAAGAATCTGCTCAATCCGTTCACTCAGAAAAGAAGGTAAAATTTTGCAAAGCCTTTTATAAAGAGTGCATGGAAAAATAAATTATCGACAAGTGTCGCTTAAACAAAAGCGTTAATGAATTTCTGACTTACGACAGATCACACAAGAATTCTTACGATCTTCTCGGCTTTTCTTTTCTTTCTTCTGTCCGACTTCTTTTTGGTTTTATTACAGAGTTTAAGTTGAGAATTTTAGGTTTATTATTATTGTTTATATAATATATTATATTATTTTATTACACGTCGATTGGCCGTCGACGGTCAGATGAAATTTGATTTTTCATTACGTTAAATGATTCTTGGATCGTCAAACAACAACATATAATACAATACTATACAAAAAAAAGATAAAGGTTTTACCAAAAACATAATAAAAAGATATTTTACTTTAACTTTTGGTATTGAAACCGAAAAGCTGGAATTTAGCCTGATTACGTTGTTTTTGTCGGGACGTTAAGTTAACCTAACCGTTGAAAAGTCCAAGCAAACGTTTTTCTAGTAAGATTTTTCTTTATTTTTTGAACGGAATACAAATTTAGAACAACACGTGCCAAAGTTTACACCGTCAATTTTTTATTTGTATACAATGTATTATGTAATATTACGTTGCGGTTTTGGCTCAAATTCGTTCCTTGGTTTTAAAAAAAAAAACTATCGTGTGCGTGTGTGAATTCGTTTAATGTGTTTTTAAATGGTTTTCAATGTGTACTTAGAGAGCTCTTGTTATTATTATTGTTTATTATAATATAACTTTTTTTTTATTATTATTATTATAAATGTATAATTTTTAAATAATTATTATAGATAGATATAAATTGAAAAATAATAATAATGATAATAATTTTTCGTTAAGCGTTTAACGCGAGACGCGTCTCGTCATTAGATAATAGTTATATCGTTAATATTAAGTTTTTATTATTATTATTATTTCTTTTTTTTTAAAAACTTATTCAAATCTTGTTGACTCATATTTTTATTTAATTTTTTTTTCCATCGTATACGATTTTTGATAAGTGACTCCGCACAACTTTTTTTTTTTTTTTACCTAATAGTTTTATTTTCTCTAACGGTATACCTAACGCGATCTCGGTATACAAGGCAATAATATAATATAATAATAATAATATTTCTGAAACAATTAGTTTTTATCGTCGACTCTTGGTTTTTAATTTTTTTTTTAATAATAAGTATACGTAAAAAAAATAGACTGATTTTACGACATAATAATAATAATAATAGTTTTTTTTTTTTGTCTATGCTGTCACATTAGTTTATTTTAACAAAAAAAAACTGTAATAATTGTATAGCTTAAGGAATTTTATTTAAAAAAAATAATAATAATATAAAAAGAGGTAGAAAAGTAATTTAACGCGAGAAATAATCGACAAACGCAAACTGTTTATTCGATAGAGATCCAATTTGGCTTAGATTGAATGTGGTGAAAAAAAAACTCTTGGGAATTTAAATAAGTAATAGTAATTTTTATTATATAATTTAATTAATGTTGACGATAAAAAAAAAAAAGGAAATTTTCTAGTTGTAATTAATAGATTAAAAATTGTGTTGTCAAGTACAATAAAAAATTTGTTTTTAAATATTAATTAATTTACGGCATAAATATAGTTTTTCTCTTATTATCAATTATAATTTTTTATTATTGTTTCAACGTTGTCATCGACGAATACGTTCAAAATTAGATTGAATAAAAGTCGTCTAACGAACGACTCGCAAATTAAAATTATAGCTAACCGTAGTTATTGTTATTATTATTGTTTCTTTTTATTATTATTTCATTTTTACGGACAATTAGTTTTGTTTTGATCTTCGACGTTGCCGTCGTAACATTGCAAAAATTACACTACTCTAATCAGTTGTCAAAGATCTGTTCGTAACCGATAAATACATTTTTATTAAACTATATTTTATTTTATTGAAAATATAGAAATTACTATTAAAAACGACCTCGTAAAATGTTTTTACTAATAACAAAGCCATATTATCCATCGCCGCCACACTCTTGGAACGTTTGTAGTTTAAGCCATATCGTTCTAACAAACAAAACCGTTAATCCTCAAATTTACAATAAACTGTTTGACGACACTAAGTCCCCGTAAGATACATGTTACGTTTCAATTAATGTTCATATTTTTTTTTCCAATTTTATTTTAACGTTAATATACGTAATATTATTTTGCCGTAGTTGATATTATCTGTTAACCCTGTGTTAAACCTTTGTTGAAAAAAATGATTGTCCCACAATGAATACCTCACGGTGTTGCAAGAAGTCGCATAGGCCAGTCGTTACGGGTTGACCCGTAACACGATTGATATAACGACAATTATTTTTTTATTTTTTTTTTGTCGTGTTTAAGATAATAGTATATATTATATAAATAATTAGATTATTTATTATCATTTTTGTACAATGACGATATTATTATTATTATTATTATGATATTATATTCACGACTGTTGTACGAAATCGATATTGCGCCTTCGGGTTACGATTTACGATTTCTTTATTATTTAAAAATATTATAAAGATTTTTTTTATTATTATTTCTAATCAAATCTATACTTGTACATTTGTGTATAATATAATATATAAAAAAAACAAAAACAAGGTGCATTCTGAATTTTTTATTTCATTCTATAGAAATGTATCCTTAATATTATTATTATTATTATTATTGTGAATATTTGTCTGGTTGATTGTATTTAAAATTGTTAATTAGCTATAAATAAAAAAAAAATTTGATAGTGCCGTGTTAGCCGGCAAAATGCGTTTGTTCGCCTCGGGTCTATTATTAATGGAAAAACTTGTATAAAAAAAAAAGTAATATAATTTTAAAATGTTTTTAACCTTAAATAATATTATTAAAATTTCTATTATTATTTTTTTTTTTTTTTGGAGTTCGTTTGGTATAAAATTTAAAAAAAAAATATATATATATAATGTAATTATTTGTCAGAATATATTCGGATAACGGAGAGGCGTCGCATTCGGAATATTGATATAAAATTTAAAAAAATATATACTATATATATCTGTGTATATACTTGTAAACTATGATTTTTTTTTTATTTTATAAAAACTATTTGTATTTGTATTTACGTCAAACTAATATTATTGTTTTGATATATTATGTTAATATTATTATAATTATTATCATTATTATTATTATTACTGATAATAATAATTATTATTACTTATTAAATTTAATTATTTACTATCCGTAAAACGATTTGAAGGAAAAAAAAGTATTGTACGATAATATCTGTTTAAAACGATTTATAATAATGCAATAAAAAAAAATAATAATAAATAAAACGTTTTGTGTCATACTTAGGACTTAAGTGGGCAATACCCAGATAGATGCCCAGTCTTAACGTGAAATTAACAATTGGTGCAAAAATTTAAGCAAACCGATTGAAACACGGTTGTATATTTTATCGTCATAATACAATATTGATGTACTGTTGTTTTGTTGTATTGTAAATGATTCAACAACGGTCGCTAATTATGTTGATTTTTTACAATGAAATATTCTAGAAACATTTGTTTTGTTACCCTTAATATTGTTTATTTCCTGTTTAGTGTAAATTAAATTCATTTTTTCTGTATTAAAAACAATTGTAGGTATTCAGTTATGATATATTTTTGCTGCGTGGCAAGGTCAAGACTTTAAATTTTGGGTGTATTATACAATGGAATATTGACCAACTCTCTAATGTGGAAAAAATCTCTTGGGGAAGCCGAGAAAATTTCAAGGCCTTAACTAAATGTTTATTAATTTTACTCTCGAGACATATTATAGAGTTTATATGAAAATATTACAAAGCGCAGTGCGCGTTTTATGTGTTTATTAGAGCAGTAAATAGATATTGTCTTAAAGGTTTTTTGAACATTTTAAAAACAGTTATTAGCCAAAAAATGCTAGACTAAAACGCCATTTAAATTCGATGGAATAAACATGTAGACATTTGTTATGGTCATCGTGCACGTTTACTGATACACAACAATGTTGAAAAACTATAAATTCACTGTCATCAATAAAGTATGACTAGACAGTAGAACTATACAATAATTATTATCTATACCAATTACTAGTAGTATTACTGAGATAATAACAAATGAATGATAAATCACTAATTGCAACAAAAAAAACTGTCAAGGCAAGGCTAGGAAGGTGATGGTTGTAAAAAAAAATGATTGAATGACCTTTTATCGTTCACTTTTTCACAAATTAACACTAGTCATTTTGGCGTTAAGGGTATTGCATGCGGTCAGTTTTTAAGGAGTTTTGTATAGGCAATATTTAAATAATAATGAGTACTTTGACACTTAGAGAAATAAGTAGTCATAGAACGAACTCGAAATCTTTTTATAAAAATTAAATCTGATTATTGAATAGTAGGCGTCTAAAATATACTTAAATGGCTTTAAAAAAAAAAATTGCAAACAATTGAAAATAATATTTTGATGCTTTTAAAAATCAAATGACACGGTCGAAATTTAATAAAACCACTTTGTCTAAAAATATTGCCTAGATAAAACGCCTTAAAAACCGTCCGCTTCAAATTACTCTAAACCGCGGCCTTGGAAGATAAGGTGAAGGACGTTTTGCAATACCATACAAAAATATATATATATATTAAGTTTTGTTTATATATTATAAATACTTATTTGATGAGAAAACCAAAAAGCCGTTTTATATTACATTTAGAAGTCTATTAAAACTTAGTTGAAGAAATTATTTCATTGCGATATGGAAATTGCACACAACAATAGATAATATGAGCTCTTCAACGTTAAGCCTATAAAGGATTTCGTATAAGGTTTGACATCGTAGCATCTTCCGCTGCCATTTCATCGACAGACAAGCAATCGTGTCAGATTTTGGTTGAATAAAAAATTTAAAAAACATGAGCATTTACTTTAAATAATTGTTTGGTGTACAATAGCCGACTGAGCCACACACAAGTTTTATTGCCGATATAATCTATAATAACAATTGTTTTCGGTGTTTTTCACAGTGCGGTATTTATACAAATCTGAAATTGTTTATGTATTTTTTTTATTGTGTACACAAATTAATCATTCAGTTTACACAGCACAATATCGAAACAAAATGTTATCGAAACACCGTTGTGGAGAAAAAAAAATGTACAATTTGATTACATGAATGATTTTTCTATTTTAGAGAGTATTGCAGTTGCAATTTTTTTTTAAAACTCAACACACAATTACACGTGCAACGTCTCTAGGCGGAGAACATAATGAATACAACAACAACTAAAGGACCTTGTATCTGGCCTTGTTGACCATATGATGTGCCGACGTTTGCATTTTCAGTAATTCCTCTTTGATCAGCCGAGTTATTTCGATTTTCGCTTTTGATACGGCCAACTCGTCGGTGCTCTCGATGGCCAAGAACAGTTTACGCTCTCCCTCGGGTGGATTCTTGGCCGGCGGATAGTAAGTGCCTCTCACGGTGATACCGGCTTCGGAGTATTCCGATATTTGAGCTAACGCCTCCTGATGAGTTAAATTAAAAAAAAAAAAAAACATTAACACGGTTATATACTTGAACGTCAAGCGTAAGTATCCGAGACTACTACTAACCTTTGACGTAACCCTCCATCTGGCCTGTTGCGGGAAATCGTTGATTTCCAATTCTTCTTCGTACTTTCTAAACGTTTCTTCGGTTCCGGTTTCGGCGCCGTCGTTGCTGTCACTATCGACGTCTTCTTCTTTGGGCTGATAGTTTAGTCGCGTATTCAGTTTGGCCGCCAGCTGTTCGGCCACAGTCTTGGCGGTGATCACCGGGTGTGAACTGGAAAGACCTCCCTTGAGTATGGCTTCTGCGGTTTGCTGCGACGCACCTTTGGCGTCGGGTCCAAGATTTTTGGCTATGTTAATGCGTGAAGCCAAACGTTTAGCCAATTCCAACCGCTCGGACGATTGCGGCGTTCCGTTAGATTCCACTGCACAAAAGTATTTTTAAAAAAAAAACATTATATACCTAATGTTTAATATACGAGCTGGGCAAGGACGGTGAAAGGGTCCGGCAACTGAGACATGGGCTTGGCGCTTTACATCAATACAAATTGGTTAACACTTTTAATTAGATATCTATCGTATCGATTAAAAGTTTTGTTTCTACAGAGTTGATATTTTATTTATGGTTTTAAAATTGTGCTACAAACGTTTATAGTTTGTTAAATTGTTTTATGCATTTAAACTTGGGAAATTTCTAATACAATTATAAGTGTTTCGCAAAACCCAGCACCGTCCCTGATGGTAAGAAATAAAACACAATCGTTGTAATCATTACTCGAGCCAGTCAGATTGGGCAGTCCCAAAGCGCTAGCTTTGATTTCCTTGACGATTCGCTTAGGAGCCAACATGGTTTCAATCTGTTGGTCTATATCGCCTTCGATGTCCTCATCGTCGGAATCTTGTAGGCCGAGCGCAGCCTTCTGTAGCTTTTTCTTTTCGTTGGCCATCACCGCTTCGGTTTCGTCAAATTTAAATCCTTTTCCACTGAAACCGCCTCCCTTATGAACTTGCTTTCCTTCCTGCGTAAGCAAAACAAATATTTAAAAACTTTTAATTTTAAACATTTTTATGTTAATGACTAACGGCTGCTTGTTTCGCTTGATAGCGTAACCACATGGTACGTAAAGCTTCCGGCACTTGTACGGTAGACGTTTCTAAGGCTCTGATCAAATCGCCGGCATATTTTTCTTGGTCGGGCGAAACTAGAGTGTACGCAAATCCCTTATTTCCCGCTCTGTAAGAGAGAAAAATAAAACAGCAATTAATGTAAGCCGCTAATTGCTAAAAAAATGTTAATTCATCTAAAATATTTTGTCGTATCCAAATAATGAATACAACAAAGCGATGAAAGTGGCTTGTATAAAAGTTATTTTGTACAGCTATAGGACACCACGGTTATGTCTTACCTTCCCGTCCTTCCGCACCGATGAACATAATCTTCGTAATGATTAGGGCAATCGTAATTAACTACCAAAATCAAATCTTTGACGTCTAATCCTCTGGCCGCCACAGAAGTGGCCACCAACAACTTGACTTGACCGCTCTTGAAGTCCACAATCGTGCTGTCTCGATCGTACTGATCGATAGCGCCGTGCAAAGTCATACAAGGATACGACGCTTTCATTAGTTTTTGTAAAAGTGCATCGGCGTTCTCATGCGTATCCACAAACACAATACAACTTCCTTTGTCGTAGTACAATCCCAACACTTCGAGCAACTTCATAAACTTTTGCTCTTCTTCGACAATGACGACGTGTTGTTCGACTTCCTTAGCGACAACACTTCGACCACCAATCTGTGAAAAGCACATTGAAAATAAAAATTATTACCCTTATTGCGAATACAAGATTGTGATAACCCGTACTTGGACTTCAATAGGTTTTTGCAGTATACGTCTTGCTAATGCTTCCATTTGACGTGGAAAAGTAGCGCTAAACATTACGGTTTGTCGATCTGGACGTACGTTGTCAATCACTCGCATGACTTGAGGCTCAAAGCCCATATCAAACATACGATCGGCTTCGTCCAGTACGATATAGGTAACACGTCTTAAATTTGTCACTCTACCTACAAACAAAAAAACAATCACAGAGTAAATAAACAGCTATTGACGGTCGGATAAAATAATAACCGATGTGGAAAAAATTAAAAGGTTGCCGGAGCCCAATGTACGATAAGATAAAGCTAAGAATACATTTATAAATTATAACGAATGTTACCGTTGTTTGCTGCCAGCATATCGATCATTCTACCCGGTGTACACACTATTATTTCGGCACCTCGTTTCAATTCGGCAATCTGTTCCGATATTCCAGTACCTCCGTACACGGATACGACACGCAAGCCTAAGCTCTTTGTGAATTTTCTCGCTTCTCTACTGGTCTGCATACAGAGTTCACGTGTAGGTGCCATGACGATAGCTAATATAGGAGAAAAATAATGGGTTAAAAATCGGTGCTAAAAAAAATAATAATAATAATAGTAATAATATAGTCAGTGTTTGAAGAACCATTTGTTATACTATATCAATGGTTATTAGTCATTACCGATGGGTCCGTCCGTGTCTTCAAGAGGCGGTTGATCCAATATGTGTCTGAACATGGGCAACAGAAATGCAAGCGTCTTGCCGCTGCCGGTTTTGGCGATGCCAATGAGGTCACGGCCCGACATAATAGCGGGTATGGCTTGTGCTTGTATGGGAGTGGGTTTTTCGTAGTTATGTTTTTTGAGATTGTCCATGATTTTCTTGGTCACGCCACAGTGGGCCCAAACCCTAATCGGCCGAGGACATCCTTTACCTTTTACACGAATACCTTCCAATTCCTGAAGTGAAAAATTTAAGAACCAAAACAACATTAGCGCCAATGCATTATTAGATATAAGAAATCAAAATCAGATATACCTCTTTGTATTTCTCAACCTCTTCAGGAGTCATACGAGTAATCTCAGGTACTTCGACATAAAAGTTTTTCCTAAACGGCAAATATGCTATGCCGGCATGATCGATTTTCGGTAGTTCTTTCTTTTGCTTGTTCGCTAAACTAGCGGCGGCCACGTTCAAATCTTCTTGTTCTTCTTCTGACGAGTACTGCGCAAATAATATATATATTTTGTCGATTAAATAATGGCTATGCAAAAGAACTTAGGTGTATATCCAAAGCATATATTAATTACCTCGAGTGCATCTTGATTCTGCTCTATAAGTTCTCCTCTTGTGTTGTTATCTTTTCGCTTGGCCACTCCAGAAACGATTACAACACCAGAGCTGGTCGTGTCAACTCCCGGACTTTGACCAGATTCGTTCAACGTACTTTTATCGGGCAAATGACTTCGATGACCATCTAGTTTGTTGACTTTACGTACTTCTTCTTGAACACCCTAAATTAATTTACAAGTATTACTATGCAGCATATTTTAAACTATACAATATTTTAATGTACAGCGATACAATAAGAGAAATCTTTCATTTTTTTAATAGTTATTATATTATTGGGTTACCTGCATGAAAGCATCGAGAGGATCGATCTCTTCCACTTCGACAGCTTTGTCGGCGCCATTTTCATCATCTTCGTCGCTGTCGTCTTCGAGATTCCACTTTTTAGATGGAATTTGTAAATTGGCTAATACAAAACAAAACATATTTTTAACTGCGATTAACCCACAGTTGTAATATACTTGGATATCAATTAACACTTCACATTTAAACTCTTTATCCAAACTACATGTAAAAGTTTTATTTCAAATTATACTTATAAAAAAATAATTGTTAGGTGTTTACAACTTGGGATTTACTTATTCTGATAACAAACAATTAATTGAAATGCAGTTCTAATTTTTGTACGTCAAATAATTTTTTAATTATACACAAATTTGAAATTAAATACATTTATATATTTTACTGTTTTAAATAACAAATAAATGTATTTTATTATTTGATTTACTGTTTCATTTATATTACAATTTTATTAACGACAAAATTATAAATCGATTGTTTATTTTTATTGTAATCAGAAGATTAATTTCAGTGTCCTTTGTTGGTTACTACCATGTTTATAATACAACAAATAGAATGTGCTTGACATTCCTACAATATAAGTTAATCGTAATTTCTTTAGAAGAATAATAGAGCAAAGTCCTACACACTTTAAACATTGTTTTGAAATGTAAACGATTAACTATTTTAAAATCTGTTAAGAAGGTATAATTTTTTCATAGGATTTATTTATTTAACTCGAATGAATATGTTGCCTATTAAAGTATTTGGAATGAATAAAATAAATTGGCAAAAATTATAATTTATTTTTCTGTTGAAAAGACATCATTATTTACAAAAGAAACTGTAGCTCGACCATATTTTATACTCACACATAATAGTAGTTCTAACATCTGTTTTGACACTGTCCAATTCATTTTTCTTACGCTCTGCCCTCCAACGTTCAATGCGTTCACGACGCTTTTGCATTTCTATTTCGAGTTTTTTCTGTTCGGTCTCCTGTCGTATGAAAACAGAATTGAAATAATTTTATCGACATATCAATTTTACTAAATGTACATGTAAATATCTAAATTACCATACGGAAAACACGTGCTTGGCACAAAATTTAAATTTACTTTAGCCATCATTGGGCTTTCGGGACGACATGAATATTCAATATTCAATTTTCGATTGTGTATCGTCAGCCATCTGTCAAAAATAAATGTCTGTTTAAGTTAACCATAACAACAACGGACAACCTTAATGATTGGCTAAAGTATATTTAAATTTTCACTTTTAAACTACAACTAAATCGGCAATGGTACTGCAACACAGCGTGAACAATTACTTTTTGTTGAATCGACTATTTCAGTAAAGGGGCATAAACGACGTTATACTCTATTGATTGCTGTCATTTATTTATTGATTGATACAAAGTAATTATTTCAGTAAGAATACATTATTGTGTTATTGTCATGTTAAAAAAAAAAACATTAATTCGATAATAGCTGTAAGACTTCAGAATAGAGTTGAATTACTTTTGCAGTATCACCGTCAACATTTCAAACAAAGCACAATAATATAATATTTTAATAGTACTGACCTTATCCGGATTGGTCGGGTCAAAAAGAACTTCTTCTGGCCTACGGTCCGGAGTCTTTCTCTTGCTACGAGGAGAACGTGAACGATGAGGCGAACGTGACTTTTTTCTATCTCGTCTACGATATCAACAAATACAAAAGTGCGTTATATTTTTGCTGAAAGGTACAGCGGATTGTTAATGTTATGAATTTATTCATTTGTCGGATGTTTACTTTTCCCCTTTGCATCTCACCTAACAGTTTATTATTCTTATTTGATTAGATTTTCTATTACGAATACATAATATATTTAAATAAGACTCTGTGCAGTAATTGACGTAACAAAGCTCAAATACTGAAGGTGCAAACATAATATGAGTCCCCATCACATTATATAAACTGATAAAAGTATATTAGTTAGGTAGACGTAGGGCAAATACCACATCAGATAAACATTGAGTTAACAGTGACCGTAAACAGTTCAAACTCAAATTTTAGTCCTCAAAGGTAAGACATTGAATACATTTTTTTTTTTTTTATTATTTAGTTTATAAATAAATACACAGTTTTTCTACAACATTAACCATTAGCTCGTACTTATCGTGATAATATTATAAATGGAAAAAAAACAAATATTACGTGGATTTGTGGGATTTATGACGAGGCGACCGCGACCGGCTTCGACGATGCCGTCGTGGACTTCGCGTTCGACTTCTGGATCGTTTTCGGTGGTTTCTATCGCTAAAACAAAATCAAGTTGAATACAAAATCAAGTTGAATAATATCTTTTCTATTTTTTTTTTCACAAACAAACGACAATTTTACAAGCGTCGACCGCCGCAAACACACATACCTTCCGCTGCGAACCATATCGGATTTCGGTTAGGTCTTGGCGACTATAGTTTAATCGAAACGAGTCTAGAACAGTAGAACGCTGTGAAACTGAAAGCATCGACAGCAGCAACAGCTAACGACGAATTACAATGTTTTTATTATAAATACTGGTCGGGCGATACACAACATCATGTAAACCGTGTTCTCTTTAGTAAATATTGATAACAGAAAACAACACCGGAAAGAAAATGTACGCCGACTTCAAAAACCACGACCGGTATCCGGCCAAAAAAGAGAGGGAAGAAGAGAGGGGCAGTTGTTGGAAAAATGATAAGTGTTTTATCATCAACAACGCGCACGAGTACCAACTTAACATAAAAAGAAAAATTGATAACATAATATATTAAAATGCTCATTGCATGCCGTCTGTTTTTTCCTTTGTCTGAAGTTTTTAGACCAAAAAGCCAGAAAAAATGTCGACTACTTAGTACTTACTGTCGACGGTATGTTCTTTGGCAACTATTTACTAGGTTATTTAGGAAACGGAATTTTTGCTTTTTTTAATATAAAAAAAATCGGGTCCTTTTATTCAAAAAATTGCAAATACAAATTATTTAATACATGAAACGCAAATCAATTGATATAGTTGAAACCTCTGTTTTTCTTAAATATTGCCTTTACAAAACTTCTTAAAAACAGACCGCATGCTATATTTCTTGATATATAGCTTTTACAAAAAAATGTCTTACAGGAAAATTACTTGTGTCATCTGAAAGTTAACAACTTTATCTGCGTCTCCCCGACGAGTTTTTTTTTAATAATGCAATTAGTTTATTATTTAAATGAAAGTAAAAAAAGTAAAAAAAAACTATTTTTTTAACCACTCATATTGGTTTCAATGTTCAAGTTATTATAAAAAAAAAGAACCACCAAGTCGACACAGACATACTATACTATACATAATAAATTGTTGTTTTGCAAATGGTTTTTTTCCCACCAATAAATAAACAAATAATAAAAATAACAAACCTCAAAATATGCACTTAAAATTTAAAAAATATCCATTCAAAAACATTACAAATAGTACCTTTTTTATAAGATACTTTTCAGAAAAAATATATATTTAAAAAAAAATAAACATTAATTAAAACCATTAAGAATACTGAATACAGTTTCTTTGGTTAAAGTTCAATAAAATAAACTTAATTATTTGGATATGATCTACAAGTTGACAATTAAAGTACAATATATCTTTAAGTGTTGTTAAGGTTTTTTTCTATATTAGGCAATTAAATGTATATCAATAACAGATGAAAAAAAAATAGCAAAAACTAAACAAAATATTGAATCAAGCTGGACTGTAATATATGAAAATAGTACAATAGATAAAAATATACCTAAATTATAATTTTTTCTGTACTAATAATTTTACAGGTCAATACAGCAATACCTTTGTTATTTATATGAACTTAATTTGAAGTCGTACGGCAATAAATATATAAAACTTAACAAGAGTCGATTGACAAGCTCAACGGCACAAACAATACCGCAGTGTGATCAAACCATACAGAGTTCAACTGAACTAGTTATTAATCAATAAATTGTATACCATGCTCAATAAACCATATATGTACATTTCATTTAGCAAAGTATAATGTATAATGTAGAAAATGGCGTTTCCCTCAATTCAATATATTTTGACGGAGTAACTTAAAATTTATAGAACAATTAGACCATTTGATCCATAACGGATCGGCACTTGGGAAGTCGGGTAAATTTATATTTTTTTGTTTATATAAAATAAATAAGCGGGTCGTCGAGTTGAATCGAAATTATTTTTAATTGTAATAAATATATAATGATAAATAGATAAATACAAAAATTGGATCAATGATTTTGTTACATACAATTATTTTAAAATTAAAAAAAAATATTTTAAAAACATCACTATTGTCGTACTTAATATAAATATTATATCGTTGTTATCGAATTTGTTTCAATACAATTTTTGTTTTAATACATTATTATAATTACACATTAAAGCATCGTTGAATCGATGATTATTAATATATATACGAGTCGATTGGTTTATACATCCATTCGGTGGTTTTTATGAATTCCAATTCTTTTTGGAGGTCTTTCAGTCTCTTTTCGTGTTCGTCGATGTTGATTAATTCCTTGACCACTACGTCCACCTAAAACGAACATTAAAAAAAGACATACAATTAAGCATATATATATACAGTACATCAGTAACCAGTTTAAAAAATATATATATTTAAAAACGCATATTAATTTATTTTTGTGTTACGTTAATAACAAAATATGTAATAGTATAATATTATGTACATAAATATACATATAAATATATATATACTTTTACATATTATTAAAAGCTTATTGTGATTAAGGTTTGCATTTGTAACACATTATTCAAAATTAGAAAAAAATCATCAATGAAAATATATTCAAGACTTATTATAAAATATTAACTTAAAATGTGATTGTGTAAATTATATTTAAAAAAAAATAAAATATATGATTACCTTTTCGTCAATATCCAACGGTTGCTTTAAAAAAAAAAATTAAAATCAACATTGTAAACATGAACTTGGCTACTTAGTCGGATTAATTAAAACAAGTGATAAGCAAATCTATTTAAAATGTGTCATAACTACTACTAACTAATAACTAAAAAATAAATTAACTTAGCTCTAGTTTTTACTAATTACGCGGTTTTATAATGAACAATTTTTGCTTTCAAATATGATACCTGATCTTAAAAAAAAAAAAAAATATCTAATATATAAAAACAAAAATCAAATCTGAAATCAGATTATAAGAAAATTTACTAGTTGAATGAAGAAAAAAGATTTCAGAAATGAATTCCATTTATACAACGTACGGTAAAAATAAAAACAAAGAAAAATTAAATAATTTAGATTTAAAAATTGTCGCTGGGGAGAAGTTTTATTACCGTTTTTGTAATTCAGTGTTGAGAGTACTTACAGGTTTCACTGGTACTTTAACTGGTATCGGCGACACGGAAGTATCGTCTGTGCTTTCTTCGTTGGTGGACGTCGACGGTATTTTGGTCGGATCTTCCGGTTCAGAGCAAGCAGATCCGGACGATTTCTCCGAAGACGCTGTAGACCTCCAAGAATGCGATGTAGTTTCCTCTTCGTCGTTGTCGCTTTGATAACATTCGAAATTCTCTTCGCTCGAGTCGTTCGATTCGAACTCGACCATATAGGTAGGGTATATGTCATCGCTGCTTGAATCGTCACTAGTGTTCGATTCCTCGTCCACTTCGTAGTCCTCTGTGCGACTTCTCGGTCTCGAACTCGACGGTAAATCGCTCATTGTTCTGGTTAGCACAACCTTTAACGGATAAATACATATTTTGAATTATAGATTTTATTAATTTTTTTTTCCTTTATAAATATTTTTTATTTATATCCAATAACCAGCCAACCAATGTGATTAATGACAAAAACAAAAAATGAAATATAATGATGCCCAAATAGTAATTTTCATAGAGCTTATCTGTTCACTCCGCATCCATACAGCGTACAAATTTGTAAGTTTAAGTAAAGGCACGTAACATAAAAGCAGGGTTCGGGTTATAACAAATAAATGTTACATGTAATTATTTGAATCCCGCTTTAGAGTAATACAAATGTTAATTTTAAATATATATAATGTAAGACAAACACCCAAAATATAAATAATATATAGTTTACATGTAAAATGCAAATATTTACATTGGTAAAAATTGTGAATTTAACTTTTGCAAAAGTTAAAATACGCATTCAATTTAATATTTACAATACTAAGTTGCTTCAAGATGTAAATGTTTTAACGACGACCGCAAACGTAACATGAAATTTTCATCTATTGCCAATAAATAATTGTTAACAGTAGAAATAATAATACAAACAAATTATTAATACAAAAAATAAAAAGATTCCAATAAAAAAAAATATATAAAATATTTTACCAGATCTAGACTAGCTAGTTTAAGCTTAATTATAATGTTAATCTGTTCTTATACAAACTATACAAATATGTAACACGAGGAAAAACTCGTTATATTTGTTTAAATTTTCTCTTTACCTATGTACATTACAACAACAATAACATATTTTATTACCTAATACCCATGCAACCAGATAAAACTAAAAATTAGAAGCAAACACCGTGTATTAAAAAGTATTAATTTGTTTTAATTGTTTACCATTTATTTATAGCTTTATAAAAAATTGACCCATTAATAAAATAAAACATGTAGTTAAAAAATATAAAATAATTCAAAAGCAGACTTGGCAAAAAAAAAAGGTTTTTTTTTTAAATATTTAACTGCAAATGTTTAAGCAAATATGGCTTAAACATATGTAACACATATTAACATTTATTAATAATATTATTGTACCATATTTTTAATATAAACGTGTTTTTTGCCAAATCTACTTAAAACAAACAAACGATCAACCCGTATAAGTTGCGGCAGAAGACCAAGTCGTCTAGTTACTGTCACAGAGACGATTACAGGTCTCCTACTGAAACTTATCCGAGTGGATTTCCACAGTACTTTTTTTGTAAATAACTAAATTGAAAAAAAAATATTTATCATATAAAAGTCACAAAGACTAAAGAATTTAGCCTTTAGTTGGCAATTCTTTAGTCTTTAAAAATAAAAAAATACACCCTTAACGTGATAAGGAAATCGTTAAATTTTAATAGGATATTGTTTGATCGATTTTAGTCGTGAAACGAATAGAAAAACCAAAGTGTAGATACTAATTTCCCAGTTTTAAAATCGAAGCTACGATCATATTAGTATCGTGTCATAGCGCACCATGTCAAAGCTTTCGCCCAGAGAATATCTAGTTTGTCGTAATTACATTAAATTTATGTAGCATCCAATCAAACAACGTTTGTTTTAATGTCTTTGAACGTTTTCTGATATATCCATATCCATTTGCTAGCATATCCATATAACCACACTACGCTGCCTATCGATAAACATATTGTTTAAAAAAAAAAAATGATTAATACAAGAACATAAAGTTGACTTTGTTTACTTACAACGATAACTCATCTATTATTCACATTAATACACATTTTTTAAAACGGCAAATAACCAATTTACAAAGCTTAGATTGTGCGACAAAATTACAATATTCAATTATGGATAACTAGTCTCTACAAAACATAATTAACTGGTGTTTCCGTTAAGTGTGGGCGGACCGAATCGAAAGACAAGATAATTATCGTCGTCTGGGTCGCCAAGATTTTCGGTCTTCTCGAGCTTGTGAAATTGCTAACCTAATAGGCGAGAACCCTGGTAAACATGTAATTGTGTGCTAAATTATATAATTGTCCAGTCCAATATTTTATCCCAGTCCGTCCATATTGTTGGGTTATTTAATCGTCTGAAGCTCGCTACATTTATTTTAATATAGAATTCAAATTGTTTCAACTAATAAACACTTCTACTATAATATTACATTAACGACGCAAGTGTAATCCAATTACATTGTATAATTATTTTTACTATAACTATCAATAACTTGACGCAAGTGTAGATAATTTTAAAAAGATAAAAAAACTATAAACTTGGAAACCGTTTTACCCGCTTGTCTTTACCTGCTCGATTACCAAATAAATTAATCAAATATACATGTCAAATAATATACACGTTTATGAAATGTTGTAAAACAAAAAATACATAATTATAAAATACATATGATATTCACCTCATAATAAACATTCAACAACTTCAGTCGGAATGAGACAAATGTACTAAATTTCCGTCAAACTGAAGTATGTTGTAGTACATGAATTTTTTAAAGCAGCAAAACAACAACCTAAAACAAATTGCATATTATATAATTAATAAAACAAATAACTACATAGTTTACACCAATAAAAAAATGGTAATAAAACCATTTTCAGTACAAGCTTTTTTATTTTATTTTTTTTTAAATGATATACACTTAGGTATTTAATATAAGAATAAAGTGCTTTTTCATTTTTAAAGCAATTTTATTAAAAACTTTTACTTGAAAAGTGTATATGATTTTTTCGACAAACGAGTATCTAATTACAACACATTTATTCATTTAAAATTATATCTTTTTTTTTTTCTGTATCCAAGTTGTAAAGCGATTTTGTCCAATTTTACATTTTTAATCACAATTGATGTGTCAAATTAATACTGGATTGATCATTTCAGATCTAGACGTAGCCATGTTTTTATTTTAATGTTTTTACGTTTGTTATTCAATCGACCTAATGCGTAGGGTCGAACTTGAGATTTCCGATTAAAAGGTTCGTTAAATTGGCATAAAAACACACCAAAGAAAAAAATAAATCAGGAAAAGTAAATTGGATTTTATTTTTCTGTTATTTAAAAAAGCTGATGTCGAACACATTTTTACTTATTGCAATTTAATCGAGTAAACAAATCGATCTGTCGCAAATCGATGACGTTGCGACACGGTTTGTTCGTGTTTCGACTAAACGGATTATCTAGATTTTTACTGTAACGTTTTAAATTGTTCTAGCAAGTACTTACTTTGCTCTGTGAAGACACTGTCGATGAGAAATAACAAATTTACAATCGAAATTAACCGCTCATACAAACATACCTTGTTGGAGTTCTCATGAGAAAATGACAAGAGAGTTGTGACCCTTGGGAAAACCGCTTTGACACGAGTAATTAAAACGCAACTGTTCATAAATTATTGTTATTTTTTTTACTTTATTGACTTTTTGCTACGAATCGAGTTTAGTTTGGAGTGGAAATAACATTACAATTGACTAAGCTGAAGTGGCCATAATGTGATAAACGAGCCAGCCATATTTTGATAACAGAATGTGTCATGGCGTTGGTGTATGTTGTGCTGCCACTACCGTTTAATTCTAAGGGGTAAGTTTTTTCAAAATGAGTTTTACAGTTATTAAAGGTCCGAAGATTATAAAAATATTAAAATAAAAAAAAATGCAGTTCCCAAATTACCAGTCGGTAAATATTATCCATATGAGTGTACACGCTTTATCACGTCTTTACATAACAATAGATACAATATGTTCCTTGGTCTCCACGTTGTCACTGATTAATAATTATTTTATATAGCTAGACTATAATAAAAGAAAAACCGGCGTTTAAAATTAGGGGGGAAACTATATGGGGAAATTGAATTTATTTCCTTTTTGGAACGCCAAAATATGAATTTTACAGTACAGATAATTCTTATGAATTCAACTATAAACAAAAACAGAACCCCCAAAGACCTGACCAACTGTCGCTGAGCAAAACAAATCCTGGTGGTCGCAAATCGTATCGTCTTGTCACTTAGACCCAAGTTGATGACAATAAACAGCAAACATTTTTATAAAGAATAAAATGAAAGAAAACAAATTTTATTTTATAATGTAAATATTAAATGAAATAAACTAAAACGTTGTCGTGTAAAGTTAATGAAAAAAATTGCGATGGAAAGGAAATTTGTGGAGAACGGAAGTTGATAAATAAAATGATGAAAATAGAGTTAAAAAATATAACTAAAAATGTTTAATAGTCAACTGCATAACATAGTATACTAACATATCCTAAAATGTCAACAAAAATACATCTTTACTACAAAATAGAATGGGTCACTCCAGATAGTTATAATTATTGCAAGACACTTTAAATTTCCGAATATGTTTAAGTGTTATTGGTACTGAAGACCTTACACCCGAGTATTTTAATATATGTTTTTTTATGACGATCAGGTTTCACAATCAAAGAATTTCGCTAGTATGTGTTCTTTTGTGTTTTTTAAAAGTTCCAACTTGTGAATATGACTTCTTGCATATCATACATTGAAATGATCTGTCGCTTGTGTGTGCGCTTTTGTGCTTATTTAGATCTCCAGATGTAAATGTATTCTAGCCTAATTCACACTGAAATGGTTTCTCGGCTGTGTGCGTCTTAATATATTTTTTAATTGATCTGGATGGATTTACTTCAGTTTGAATTTGATTGAATTTATTAGTGCTGTTGAGTGTATTGCTAAAAAAATAGTTATACAAATATTATGATAAAAACTTAAAAGTAGTTTATGTTAAATGAAAAAATTTTAATTTTTTTACAATTCTTACTCAATGTGAAGTGAGGATGTACATCATCGTTGTTGAAAACTGCTAAATCTTGGTTTTCTTGTGTTTTAATTGATAATTTAAAGTGAATCGTACAGAAAAAAACATTGCACTCGTTTTTTGAGCTTGCATCAGGTATAAGTTGTATGGAAAATGCAAGATTTTGTTGGGCACCAGTTTAGAATATAAAAGTACACGGATTATGCTTGCAATAACACAGTATATGTTTTATTAAATAAAGTAAATAATATTAAACAATTTTATCTATCGGGGCGGTTTTGAAAATGCTGTGTTTATAAACAATTCGCGCAAGTCCATATCTCCCACTAGCTGTTCAAACTCTCCGAATTCAATGCCATTTTCCTCATACCAACTGCCTGAAAACGTTTAAATATTTTTATGATTACAAAATAAACTTGTCGCTCTCCGTTGCTGGCCTACATACTTATTGGGGTTTTTTATTCCTTTTGAATATTTTAAATTATGTTATTACTAATCAGTTTAAATGACAAGAAAACAGTAGTTTCAAAACGAGCGTTTAAATAAAACTTACTAAAACGTTTTATTTTATCCGAATATTATTAACCGTAATATTTTATAGTGATTGATTCGTCTTTGGAATTTATGAAATAAATCTCACGCACTTGGGTAATCAACGTAACTAATTATCTTTGTATTTTATATTTATATCTTACCACGGCATTGTAAACCTGTAATATTGTTAAACTGTTCTAGGGTAAGTCTTCCAGCTAGGGGATCTGCTCGGTCTATGACTATACCTAACAGCCTCCTACATAAATTCCAGTATGCCTAAAATATAATTAACCTTTTTTATCAATACAACAATTAAAACAATTTTCCATATTGTTTAACATATTAGTATAATTTTAAGTATATTATTATAAACGAATAGCTAGTAATTAAATGATTAAATAACTCAATTTAAATTGTAGTTAAAACTCACGTGCTCAATAGTAAAATAATAATTTAAAAATACTGAAATACTATAAATACATTTGAGATAAACGCATCAATATTTAAAAAAAAAATGAATAATTGTCATTTGATGCGTAGGTATAAGATTACAATTACAAATTATTTATAGTTTATTAAATAAAAAAAACTTATATACTGTAGTCATACTCATAATTATTCAATATAATATTCTATAATTTTTATGATTAAAGCGTTAAACCGTTTTGCACATACCGCGGTACTACAATTAATATTACTTATGTATTTAAATATATTTGAGATAAAAATTAAATACTGATTACCTCTATGGTAATCGGAGGTGCAGTCGGTTCGATTGAAGTCGAACCACTGGCTTCAGTTGAATTGGCTTCAGTTGGTCTTGTTTCAGCCCCAACGTTACCTAACAAAGTGTAACCACTCGATCTGCTTTTAAATATTTTAGACACTTTTTTAGGCAACTTTTTAGTCAAGTTAGCTAACTTTTTAGCACTCGTTTTCATTACAGACGTTTCTTGTATCAAACAGAAAAATATTAAACATAAAACGAATATTGTTTTAGAATTCATTTTAATTTTTAAATACAGATGTTAGTTATCGAAATGATTAAAAGTGCAATGACGAAAACGTAGTATAGAATGACTTAATATATTGCACGTTATAAAATAGCACATAGTTGAATATTTGTAATTTAATATCCCACATTGAATTTAGACAAATATTAAATGGATAGCATTGTAGGTATAATACCTATTCACCCATGTTGTATTATACAGATGTTGTTACTTGTTTTAGATGTTTACAAAAGTTTACTAAAAGTTGCCAATTTTTACAATAGTCTACGTATGTGTAAGTATTTTGTTAATATGAATGTTTTGTTTAAATATGAACAACTATTCAGTTATAAGGAGTGAATAACGAAACGAAAAACATGGTAAAACGCATGTGATCAACTACAAAAGCTATGCATATGGGCTAAAACAGAAAATTTGTTTTGAAAATTTACATTACAATTGAATTTTTTTAAAAGCAATACCATCTTATGTTGAATTTGGCTGTGCAATGCATTTATCATTTTTTTTTTTATTTTACATTGGTATAAATTATAATAACATTATAAATTGTTAGTTTATCGTGGGTACACATATAAGGCCGATAAATTTAATAAAGTACATCATCGTAAAACCATTACCAAAACTTGTACGTTTCACACTAGAGCTGAAAGCAGAATATCTGTTGTGATCGTAAGGAGAGTGTTGATTGAAGGGTAGTCAGGTGTTCGGGTATTGAATATGAATTTATTTTAGTAAAATAAATATATGGTTTTTAAAAACAAAATGTGTCGTCGAGACGTTTCCCAATCGAAGTGTCAACGGTTTTTTGGCGGCGCGGCGGCTGCAGCCAACCCGTCAGTGAGGCGAGCGCGGCCTGTCGGACGACTAGAGGGGAAGCGGACACGGGCGCCATCTGGCGGTGGCGAGTGTGATTAGCACTCGGCCACCACCGGAGTCGCGATGCGACCGCGTCATATCTGCTTATGATTTATACCATAATATGGACAAAAAACACTACATGATAAACTTTTTTAAGTTTCTTTGAAAACTAACCACATTGTTTTAATTGATATTTTATGTTGAATAAATATATATAACATTATTTTTAAGCAATAAAAATGAAAGCTGTTGCGAATGTAGTAGCTTGCAAATGGATAAATATTTAATATAGTTTGAATTAACTTACATACTTGAGTATATAAAAATTACACCTACAATTATGTACTTTTTGTAAATCGTCTCAGCGTGGATAGATAATATTGTATTTAATTGTTTAAGTATCACATTTTATATACAATGTGTGTAGATATATTATTTTGTGCGTAGCTTTGAGTGTATTTAAAAAAAAAATTGGTTACTTTGCGACAGTGTAGAATGAATAGCTAAACATACAGTCTTAATATCTAAGTAGGTACATTTATAGTACCTACTAACATATTCTTAAAATCTAAATTTGTAAAAAAACATTATTTGTAGTCGGCATGAAACGCACTTAGAGACAGAGTCTTTATTTTTTTTATAAAGAAAAGCCGTTGTAAAAGAAAATGGTAAAAACTTCCCGGATAATAACAATGTCTTTAAATTGAAGAATATCAGGAATCGAGAAAGTGACATTATGGGATAAATTGAAGGAATAAATGGAAAATCGTTCAGGATCAGTATGAAGAGTACACAGAGGAGATCTATTTATGGAAAGATAAAAAAAATAATTGGTAATTAAACAAAAACATCTTGTTTGACAACCTATCTACATATATATTGTATAAATTTTGTTCCACGAGCAAGTAGAATTGCCTAACCTACAGCCATTAAGGCGTACTTAATTAATTTTTTTTAATTACCGACGGCGGCTACAGAATGAATGTAGTAGCAAAGAGATTTAGTGTAAGGCTAAAAAAAAAAAAAAAAAGATAGAACTGAAAGAAGGTGACGGAAAATGTGTGACAAAGACGAGGAAGATTAAGAAATAATTCTTCGCATTAAGTTCCTTTTACACCTACGCCGGGTCTGTCTTATAATGTAATGAAATGCTGTTATGTGAGCTGCGAATGTTTTTTTTGCAATGATGTGTTCTTGTTTAAAATTTTTTTTATGACTGTCCAGATTATGTGATTTTATTAACTAAACCATTTTATACAAAAATATTTTTAAAAATGCGTCCTGATTTACGGATACCATTAAGTCCAATTTTATATTTATCATTAAAATAGGTACAGATTAAGATAACGACAGGTTAAGTCTTATAACTAAAATACAAACGATTAATTCAGAAAGTGTTTACAAGTTGATGACAATAAACTACAAATTTTGTATAAAGAACAAAATAAAATAAAACAAATAAAATAGTATAATGTATTATTTAAATGAAATAAATTAAAAACGTTGGCGTTTAAATTAAGTCGAATTTTACTTTTTTTAAATAAGTTACTATTAAGATTGATAATCAGTTACCTTATTTTAAAATAACAACAGGTTGAGTCTATATAACCAAAATACAAAAGATTAATTCAGAAAATTTGATGCCAATAAACTACAAAATTGTAAATAAAGTTAAAAAATATAACTAAACATTTTTATAGTCAACTGCATAACATAGAGTATACTTACATATCCTAAAATGACAAAAAAACACATCTTTACTACAAAATATAATGGGTCACTCCAGACAGTTATAGTTATTGCAAGGGGTAAAATTTTCTAACATATTTAGGCATGACAGGTACTGAAGATCTTACACCCGATGATTTTTATGATGAGCAGGTTTCACATTGAAAGGTTCTCAACAGTATGTCCTTTTGTGGTTTTTAAGAGTTCCAGGATGTGAAAATGTCTTCTTACATATCTCACATTGATAAGTTCTGTCGCTTTTGTGTGTTCTTTTGAGCTTATTTAGATCCCCAGGTAAAAATGTCTTCAAGTCTAAATCATACTGAATTGGTATCTCGGCTGTGTGTGTCTTAATATATTTTTTAATTGATATGGATGGATTTACTTCAGTTTGAATTTGATTGCATTTCATAGTACTGTTGAGTGTATTTCTAAAAAGAATAGTAATAAAAACATTATGATAAAAACTTAATACTAGTTTATATTAAATGAAACGTTTTTAATTTTTTTACAATGCTTACTCAATGAAGTGAGGATGCACATCATCGTCCTTGAAAACTGTTAAATCTTGGTTTTCTTCAATTTCTATCTCAGATACAAAAAAATAATCATTTCCGATTTCATCAACCTCCTGTTTAATTACAGCCACGGTGTTTGGTTTTCTAATTTTTTTTTCTTTATTTTTAATACTTGTTGTGTCGATGTCTGATCCAACAAAACTTAAAGAAACGAGTAAAATAAATTTTATAACAATATTTTCAGTATTTATATTAGGTAATAACAAACACAGCTATTTAGATTTTTCATTGAGTTGTATAAAAAAAATCCGATTTTTCTAATCTAAAGATCAATGAGCTTCTTTGAAGACCGAAGCACTTTTAAACATTTATTATACAAATTTGAATTTTAAATAGTTAATAATTAATCAGATTCTATTCGTTCAGGGCATATATCCAATAAATATAGTCAAGTTCGGAATAATTCCAAATACAAATTTCTCTTTTATTAACGATTCGATGCCTTAAACAAATCCTGAAAGTTCTAATCGATATGTTGTACGCGTGATTATGATCAGAACGCCAAAGCTCATAAAATAAAAAATTTTGCAAATATCTCAATTTGTATTGGTTTACGGATTAGAAGTTAATTTATAAAAATTCTGATAACATTTTTAACAAAAAAGATCCTTTAGAATTTTTACTTTGAAACAACGCTTTTTCTGAAAATTTGAAACAAATGTTTCTATTTTATTGAAAATAATAGTTTTATGCTACTCAACCCATTCATTAATGCTAAAATATAAAGTGTGAAAAATAAATAAACAGGAGGTAAGAACAACATTATTAACACATATACTAAAAGCTTAATGAATATGAAGGGTGACGAAAAAATAGATCAATGTCAATTATTTCGTGAAAATGATATACTATGTTATTTTTCGCTTTCTGTAAAATTAAAATGTATTTGTTTTATCCTTTAACTCAAATATATTTAGTTCACCGACAACATATGTTTTTCTCTCACTCAAACCATTGCTAAAATTTAATTTTGTTAGTAAATTTCATAAATGGAATTTAAGAAAATTTACATTGATCTTTTTTCCCCGTGATCCTTCATATGTATACTATTTATAAATATATATTATATATAGGCCAAAACACCAAACATGAACGAACATTTGGACCACCGAATTTTTTTTTAAAATTACACTATATGTCTGTTTTGATGAAAAACATGTTTTCGATTATTTTTATTGTTATTATTATTTCGTAATAAGACAAAAAGTAGGAGGTGGATTCACAAAATAGAAACACGCACATATACACAACGATATTAAACGTATCTACTATATCCACTCACCGTCCCCTCTTTTTATTAGAGTATCAAGATAAAAACTCAAAATACTTGTAACAATCGTAGGCAAAATAATCGAACATTTTTTTTTTTTAATGTATTGCTTTTATTGTAACAGACCTGTTGTGAAGTTTTCAAAACAATCGTCGGATATATACTATTGTATCTCCGAAAACAATAACAATGATTGCGTGTTCAATACAGATACAATATTAAATACCAACGATTATAAACATTGCCAGTACTTATGGTTTGTGATTATTAAAATGATGACAGTAAAGCTGCACTTACGCAGTAGAAAGAGTATTCACATATTCGTCCTTGACAATTGCTATATCTTGATTTTCTTCACTTTGTATCGTAGTTTTGAAAGAACAATCGTTGTCTATTTCGTCGATCTCCCATTTATTTACAGCTACAGTGATTGGTTTACTAGCATTAAAAAAAACACATTTTCAGAGTAGTTAGTTTATATTTTTGTGTCTGCTAAATACATTTTTGAAGTTTGAGTTTCAACTCAAAAAGTTAAAACTTCTTATATTAATAATGATGATTATGTGAACAGTTAACAAATATGCTTACTCAATTAAAATATAATATTATAATGAAGCATACAATATTATAAATTTATCTAGAGTAATTAGTCTACAAAGAAATTGAAACCTGGTTTTTTGTTTTCTGATTATATAACAAATGACGATTAAAAAAACAGACTTACCTAGTAGAAACAGAGTCCGCATATTCGTCTTTTACAACTGATTTTCTTCAATTTGTATCGTAGATTTGAAATAACAACTGTTATCAATTTCGTCGACCTCCCATTTATTTACAGACATGGTGTTTGGTTTGCTAACAAAAAAACATTTGTTGAGATTTAATGAGGTTATAAATTGGTGTCTCCCAAAATGTATTTTTAAACTTTAAACGTTTTATTAGAAACTTGTTATATTCATAATGATGGTTACATAAACAGTTACAAAAAAACTTACTCATAAGACAGGGGCACTTAAATTGAATTTGTAGAATCTGTAATGTTGTCGACATCAGTTTTTTCAACTTTAATACTTATAGCATCATAGTTTGATTCAACAAAACTAAAAAAAAAGAAGGTAAACCAATTTTTACATCTAATGTAATTACAAACAATATAGTTGCGATTATTTACTAATAAGGAACTATGTAAAAATAATTAAAACACACAAGCAAACAACTTTTCTTACAATACTTTTTTACACACAATTATTAGTAAAAACTTGATTTTTAAATATTTTAAAATTAGAATAATCAGCTCATTATCAAAATTGTGCTACAAATTGAACTTACCCAGTAGAAAGAGGCTCCATATGTTTATCCATTATGACTGGTTTATCTTAATTTCTATCAATGTCTATCTTCAATGTGAAATAATAATTTTAATCTACGTCAAAATTAAACTTATAAAAATATGTTCCAATTAATTATTCCAAGATGTTTGAAAGGGGTCAGAATCATATGTGATGATTGTGTAGAAGATATAATAAATGATTAAACAGTCTTACTCAGCAGAAAGCGGCTCTGTATTTGATAATGTTAAGTGATAACTGCTATCTTGTTTAGATTCTCCAAACTTATTAGTAGATGTATCGGTTCAATGACACCTAAAAAAAAAAGTTGTTTTTATATTTATGGATTTGATCACTGAGAAATACGAGGAAAATAGTTATAATAATCTATTAATGTAATGATCAAAAATCAATTAATAGCTTTTTTTTCTAAAAAAAAAAGATTGTAATTGTAAAATGACTCATTTTACGTAGATGTAATATAATAGTAAAATATTATGTATAAAATCTCACAACCCTGCATAATTTTAAAAAAGTGATTTTTTATTTAGTTTTTAAGTTAAACGTAAGACTTTTAATATACAAAGTTATAATCGTCTTCATTTAGAGCTACGTCATTGATGACAAATAAAACAAGGACTCAAAGTTGTTATATCGAGTTTTACACAAGCTAATTACAATAGTGTTGTATACAAATAATTTAATTTAATGTTATTTACTGCTAATAAAATAAAAAATATAATTTTATTAAACCAAAACGTCCATTTGAATACCCGTAAAGTTAAGAATAAAACTAAAAAAAAATAATTTATACTTGCGGAAACAAGTAGCCATAACTAATCCAACGATAATTAAAGCTAGATAAGAACAGCTACAAATAATAACAATTTTTCCCCGCAGTTGGATTAAAATTATTTCATTCGTGTATATTATGATTGGAATTTCCAGTAACAACTGAAGTAATGTTTATTTCAACAGTTAATTATAATTAGAAAAGTTTTATTGAGCTGAAATCCTTAAAATTCTAATAGCGATGCGCACAATATTAGAAATGAAATAGCCGTATTTAATGAAGTCTGCGCAAAATGTATAATCAATGATAAAATATCATAAAGTACTTACGTTTTTCAGCTCATTCGATCATTCAATCTTAGTAAATTAAAGAAATAATACACGAGAAAACGTTGTATAAATCAAAATATTATAGTGTAGGTAAAATATACGATGAAAAAATAAACAAATGCAAAAGAGCTGACGAAAGCAGTTTTTCTGACAATTGATAATTCGTTATAAAAACAAAAGGTACATAACCTCAAATTATTTGTTGTGCCAACATCAATTTAACAAAAAAGCCCGCCAGTATTGTTTTAAATCAATGACTGTACTTGAATCTAGTTTTTTTTAATTTTATTAATGCGATAATTAAAATCGTATACTTTACAAATATTGCGTGCTTTTAATAATAATTTAATAATATTTTTCTCTTCAAATTATTTTAGATTATTATTATTGAAATAAAATGTTAGTTTCTTCTTTTATTAATATAATAATTAGATTATAGAGTGTTAATTGCATAATCTTTACAATTCAAATATAGAGAACAAACGACAGCTCTTAATAAAAGTCATAGCAAATTCCTCTAAACGTACTAAAATATTAATCAAGAGTTAATAGTACCATATATTAGATAAAACATGTCAGTCAAACAGATTAACTAATAGCTCGTATTAAGCGCAGTATTGTAAATTCGATTATTTTATTATAGATACATTTAAAACAAAATACCAAGTTGATGTAATATTTACTGACTAGAGCCTATGATAAAATTGACCAGAGTATACTTGCCATGAAAATGTACTACCTAGGTCCACGTAATCCTTTTTAAACTTGGCCTATCTCCTATATGTCTTGTAGAAAAAAACTAAGCGTTTATAAGATGTGACACATGGAAGTTTTTCAAATTCAACATCAAATTATCGTATGGTTATCAAATCCGTTCTGCATGCATATTGTTTTATCATAAAGCTGAGATCAATCATCTATCTTTTTTTAGTGTGAAGCATTTGGTGCTTTTTCCTATTGACAACAAGCTCTTAAATTTACACGGTCTCGATTTTTTGTCATTCCAGTTATTTTATGTATTTTTTCTGTTATAATAAATTTCAATCTTATAAATATTTTAAATTTAGTAATTGTATAACAAAAATCTTGTGTTTTAATTAATAACTTAAAGTGAATCGTGCAGAAAAAACATTACACTCGTTTTTTGAGCTTGCATCAAGTATAAAATGTATGGAAAATGCAAGATTTTGTTATAGAATTGCACCAGATTAGAATATAAAAGTACACGGATTATGCTTGCAATAACTAAGTATATGTTTTATTAAATGTATATTTTACAATACGTTATATTGAACAATTTTATCTACCGGGTCTGTTTGTAAATCAGACGCTGAATCTGTGCTGAGTGCTTAAAAACAACTGGTGCAAGTCTCTATTTCCCACTAAACGTTTAAAATCTGCGAATTCAATGCCATTGTCGGTATACCACCTTTCTGAAAACGTTCAAAATATTTTAATGATTACAACATAAAACTGTCGACCTCCGTTGCTTGCCTACATACTTATTGCGTTTTTTAATTCCTTTTGAATATTTTAAATTATGTTATTACTAATCAGTTTAAATGACAAGAAAACAGTAGTTTCAAAACGAGCGTTTAAATAAAACTTACTAAAACGTTTTATTTTATCCGAATATTATTAACCGTAATATTTTATACTGATTTATTCGTCTTTGGAATTAATGAAATAAATCTCACGCACTTGGGTAATCAACGTAACTAATTATCTTTGTATTTTATATTTGATATCTTACCACGGCATTGTAAACCTGTAATATTGTTAAACTGTTCTAGGGTAAGTCTTTCAACTTCGGGATTTTCTTCGTCTTTGACTTTACCTAACAACCTCCCACATAAATTCCAGTATGCCTAAAATAATATTATCATTTATATTAATACAACAATTAAAACAATTTTCCATATAATTTAACATTTTAGTATAATTTTAAGTATATTATTCTTAACGAATAGCTAGTAATTAAATGATTAAATAACTCAATTTAAATAGTAGTTAAAACTTACGTGCCCTTTACCATGGCCGTCATAATACGTTTAATCTACAGCCAGCAGTGCTAGTTTGTATTGTTCAATATAATATTTGGAAATAATCCGTCTTAATTTTAATGAATAAATAAAATGGTAAATATTTCATTTAAACATTTTTATCCGAAACTGGAAGCTTTCTACTTAAACTCAATAGTATAATAATAATTTTAAAATACTGAAATACCCTAAATACATTTGAAATAAACACGTCAATATTTTTTTAGGAATATGAATAAACGTCATTTGATGCGTAGATATAAGATAACAAATACAAATTATCTATAGTTTATTAAATTAAAAAAAACTTATATACTGTAGTCATACTCATAATTATTCAATATAATATTCTATAATATTATAATGATTAAAAAGATAAACCGTTTTACACATACCGTGGTACTACAATTAATATTGCTTATGTATTTAAATATATTTAAGATAAAAATTAAATACTGATTACCTCTATGGTAATCGGAGGTACAGTCGGACGTTCTGCAGTCGGTTCGATTGAATTCGAACCACTGGCTTCAGTTGGAATTTCTTTAGTTGGTCTTGTTTCAGCCAAACTGTCACTTAACAAAGTGTAATCACTCGAGCTGCCTTTAAATATTTTAGTCACTTTTTTAGGCAACTTTTTAGTCAAGTTAATCAACTTTTCCGCACTCTTTCTCATTTCAGACGTTTCTTGCATCAAACAGAAAAATATTAAACATAAAACGAATATTGTTTTATAATTCATTTTAACTTTTAAATTCCGGTGTTAGCTATTGAAATGATTAAAAGGCGCTTTAACGAAAACGTAGTATATAACTGACTGTTTTGCTTTTATATATCGTGCACGTTATAAAGCAACACATAGTTAAATATTTGTAATTTGATATCCCATATTGAATTTAGACAAATATCAAA